CTTTTGTTTCTTAAATTCCACATATGAATGAAATCATATTGTATTTGTCTTTCTCTGACTTATTTTGCTTAGCATAATACTCTTGAGATCCATCCATGTCGTTGCAAATGGCAAGATTTCATTCTTTTTTATGGATGAATAGTATTCCATTGTATGTATATACCACGTTTCCTTTATCCATTCATCAGTCGGTGGACATGGGCTGCTTTAATAATTTGGCTATTGTAAATAATGCTGCAATCAACATAGGGGTTTCAAATTAGTTTTTTTTTTTTTATTCTTTGGGTAAATATCCATAGTGCAATCATAGGGTAGTTCTATTTTTAATTTTTTGAGGAACCTCCACACTGTTTTCCAGAGTAGCTACACCCGTTTTGCATTCCCACCAACAGTGCACAAGGGTTCCTTTTCCTTCACATCCTCTCCAACACTTGCTGTCCCTTGTCTTTTTGATAATAGCCATTGTTGTGACAGGCATGAGGTGATAGCTCTTTGTGATTCTGATTTGCATTTTAATATAGGACAGTGATGAGGGTGATGAGGGATGTTGAGCATCTTTTCATGTGTCTGCTGGCCATCTGGATGTCTTCTTTGGAAAAGTGTCCATTCATGTCTTCTGCCCATTTTTAATTGGATTATTTGTCTGTTGGGTGTTGAGTTTTGTTTTGTTTTGTTTTTTTGTGGTCCAAAGGGATGTTCCTCTAACTCATAATTTGGACCAAAATCGACCAGAGACATAATTAGTCCCAGAAAAGATAACCAATATCAGAACTTTAAAAATTGAAGAAAAAGAGAATTGATGTGAAAATATATCTTTCAATAATAAAGACTAAAAAGAGTAGACACAGAATCAGGAAATTCCAGTATCCACAACAGAGAACAGAAAAGAACTTTCACCAATACAGGTCTTATGTCATGATAATGTAAACAACATTTTGGAATGTACAATTCAAGAAATTTTTTTGTAAAAGTATATGAAGTCATATGTACCCACCAACAACAGACACATTTTTATCACCCTTGGGTCCAAGAGACATTGTAATGGGAAAGAGACATGTACATAACTGTGTGATTACTTCAAGTCTGAGATAACAACAAAGATTTTGTACAGATGTAGAAGACAAGGAAGGACACTTGAAACCATTAGTATTCATATCAGTGACATGAACTAGGAATTCATACACTTGGGATCCCCATCAAGGAAGAGGCACCTGGAAAGTCAAAGCCACATTCATAACAATGAAAAGATTTCTGTCCCGCCTGAATTTTCATGAACAAAATACATGAAGTGTTTTGAAGTATTCTGAAGTTTTCCCAAAATTGTGTCAATTCAGGATCATCTCCATTGCAATTGGCTCACATTTTAAATAAGTTTTTAAGGGAATTTAAATGCTTTCCCACAGTGTGTCTGTGCTCACAGATTCCTAGGATACCTGAAGTCTTTTCCCTGGTGCTTAAGTTCATAGGATTTCATGTCACTGTGCTTTCATGTGTGTCCTCGAAGGGAAGAGGGACAAGTGAAGGCTTTCCCACAGAGCAGTCATTCACAAGGTTCTCCCCACCAAGGGTCATCACACATACTTGCAAGTCTGTGGGACACTGGAAGGTCTCACCAGAGTCCTCACATACAAAGGGTTACTGTCCACTGTGCACCCTCTTGTGTTCTTGAAGGGAGCAGTGGCTTGTGGCTTGTGATGGTCTCTCCCCAGGGTATTTCTTCATATGCACTCAAAGAGATGAGGAAAATTTGTATGCCTTTCCACACTCCTTACATTCATAGGGTTTAATCACGCTGTGCATTTTCAAATGACCTTGAAAACTTTGCGGCTGACTGAAAGCTTTCCCACACCCCATACATTCAAAAGGTCTCTCCCCAGTGTGTGCCCACATGGTGCTTGCAGGAGTGATGGTCACCTGAAGGCTTTTTGGGTGTTGAGTTTTATAACTTCTTTATATATTTTGGATATTAACCCTTTATGGGATATGTTATTTCCAAATATCTTCTCCCATTCAGTAGGTTGTCTTCTTGTTTTGCCGTTTCCTTCGCTGGGCAGAAGCTTTTTACTTTGATGTAGTCCTAATACTTTATTTTTCCTTTTGTTTCCCTTGCCTCAGGAAACATATCTACAAAAATATTGTTATGGCTAGTGTCAGAGAAATTACTGCCTGTGCTGTCTTCTACAATTTTTATGGCTTCAGGTCTCACATTTAGGTCTTTAATCCCTTTTTAGTTTATTTTTGTGTATGGTATAAGAAAGTGGTCCAGTTTCATTCTTTTGCATGTAGCTGTCCAGTTTTCCTAACACCATTTGTTGGAGAGACTGTCTTTTCCCCACTGTATATTCTTGCCTCCTTGGTCATAGATTAATTGGCCATATAATTATGGGTTTATTTCTGGATTTTCTATTCTGTTTTATTGATCTATGTGTATATTCTTGTGCAAGTATCATACTGTTTTGATTACTACAGCTTTGTGGTATATTGGCTATTTGAGGTCTTTGTGGTTCCATATAAATTTTAGGATTGTTTGTTCTAGTTCTGTGAAAAATTCTGTTGGTATTTTGATAGGGATTGCATTAAATCTGTAGATTGTTTGGGGTAGTACCGACATTTTAACAATATTGGTTCTTCCAATCCATGAGCATGGTATATCTTTCCATCTGTTTGTATCGTCTTCAGTTTCTTTCATCAATGTTTTAAAATTTTCAGAGTACAGGCCTTTCACCTCCTTGGTTAAGCTTATTCCTAGGTATTTTATTTTTTTTTTGGTGTAATTATAAATGGATTGCTTTATTAATTTCACTGCTGCTTAATTATTGGTGTATAGAAATACAATGGATTTTTATACATTGATTTTGTATACTGCCACTTTAGTGATATATCAGTTCTAGCAGTTTTTTGGTGGAGTCTTTCAGGTTTCTACATGTAGTGTCCTGTCATCTGCAAGTAGTGAAAGTTTGACTTCCTTGCTGATTTGGATGCCCTTTTATTCCTTTTTCTTGTCTGATTGCTGTGGCTAGGACTTCCAGTGCCATGTTGAATAAAAGTGGTGAGAGTGGACATCCTTGTCTTGTTCCTGACTTTAGGGGGAAAGCTCTCAGTTTTCCCCCATTGAGGATGATATTAGCTGTGGGTTTTTCATACATGGCCTTTATTATATTGAGGTGTGTTCCTTCTAAACCTACTGTGTGAGGGCTTTTATCATGAATGGATATTGTACTTTGTCAAATGCTTTTTCTGCATCTATTGAAAAGAACATGTGGTTTCATCCTTTCTCTTATTGATGTGATACATTACAATTGATTGATTTGCAAACACTGAACCACCCTTGCACCCCAGGAATAAATCCCACTTGACTGTGGTAAGTGATTTTTTTAAGGTATTGTTGGATTTGGTATGCTGGTATTTTGTTGAGGATTTCTGCAACCATGTTCAGAGATATTTGCCTGTAGTTCTCTTTATAATCATCTCTTTTTTTAAACCTAATTTCACCACAAATGTCAAGTTCTGCTTTACAGACAAGAACAGAAGCCCTAACAAGCTGTCTAGATGGGAAATGAAAGAGTTACTCTTATGTTCTATGGTTTCTGGTGGAAATTAGTTCTTGGGAATTGTAACTACATGATACTAAAAATCCTAAAATCAATCACATTCATAAGTCATAAAGTATAGCTAGGATTACATTTTAAAAATTAAAAGAATAGGAAAACAGAAGAAAAGATTTAAAGTCTCCTGAAATCGGAGCACCTGGGTGGCTCAGTCAGTTAAGCGTCCAACTCTCAATTGCAGCTCAGGTGATGATCTCATGGTTTGTAAGATCGAGCCCTGTGTCAGGCTCTATTCCGACAGCACAAAGCCTGCTTGGGAGTCTCTGTCTCCCTCTCTCTCTCTCTGCCCTTCCCCATCATGCACGTGCATGTGCACATATATGCCCTCCCTCTCTCTGTCTCTCAGAATAAATAAACATTTTTTTAATCTCCTGAAATCAAGAAAAGCAAAACAAAGTTCTGGAGAATATTCCTTTCCATTCTTAACAGGAATGTGACCAGGTGCACAGCATCAAAAGAACAAATAACAGTAAGGACTACAGACATGATGCTGGGCTCCTGCTTCGGGGCAGGGTGGTGAAGGTCAGGGCGGCCCAGGCTACTACCAGCCACAACTGCAGAGCCTAACAAATCACACAAGCCGTTCTCCAAGGGTGTCCACGAGCCACGACGGTGACTGTATCGGATGGACGGGACGCCCGTGCAGAGAACCACACAGAGGTGAGCTGCCAAGGGGCACCAGCGTTTCTCAGAAGCATTGCAAATCCTGGTCAGAGCAAGGCTGCTCACTGGCAGTGGGGGCTGAAAGACCAGATCTAGGCCGGCTGACTAGTGACTATGTCCACGACATGGCCGCAGAAAGAAGTTCCTGCTCAAACCTCAGAACACGCCTCCTCCCCTTAAGTAACTTACTGATTGATGCGTTCTTCCGAAGTCTGAGGTGGGAGGAAGGGTAGTGTGAGAGGCGTGGAAAGTGTGAGTAGAAGAGGGAGGGCTTCTCTCAGGTAGGGGCCAGAGGCAGGAGCCCTCAACCCTGTCCAGGCTTAGAATGACCTGGGAGCATTTTACCCCTCCCCAAACCAATTAATCAGAGTCTCTGGGGATGGTGTTTGGTGCTAGGTATTTATAGCACAGCAAGGCAGACAGCCAATGGTTAATAGGTGACCAGTGAGAAACGTTCTGTATACACTGAGGCCAAACATGTTAGAGATCCTCAGACCCAGTGGTTCTTAAATTTCAGGTGCATCAGAATCTCTTGGAAGACTTGTTCAAACACAGATTGCTGAGCCCCACCCCCAGAGTTTCTGATTCAGTGGGTCTGTAACCACCAGGCCCAACATTTGCATCTTTAACAAGATCCAGCTGATGCTGATAATTGCTGATCTGGGACCACACTTTAGCAGCCAATCGGCTGAGTCCACGACCCTTCCCCAGCCAATCGGCTAAGGCCATGATCCCTATAAAACCTTTTGTGCTTTTGACCCTCGCTCTCTGTCTCCGGTATCTCACCGCTGCGTCCGTGCAGGTAGGAGATTGAGCTCCAGCTAGCTCGAATAAAGGCTCTTTGC